CCCAGCAACTTCTCTGGGTGTGCAGCGCCTGACCTCGGCGTGCTGAGGAAGGGTGGTGAAATGCACACGAAGGTGTTGCATTTAAACATCTTCCACATCCCTGAGCTGAAAAACGTGATCAGGGAAGTCCCTTCCCTTGGTGACGTTCCTGCTCCCCCCACGATGGGCCATCCTTGGGGCTGCCAAACGAAGTCCTCCGCCCTGGGACGGGTCCTCCATGTGGGGTCAAGGAAGTTGCGTACGTTTCAGGGGGAAGGAGGTGCGTTGGGTCTCTGGCTTCGGGTGACGTTTTTTCCCCTGACCTTGACAAAAGGTTGGGAGGTGGGTGGCCTCGTGCAAGGTTGGTGCGAACCTGCGGCGTGTGGGTCGGACTCGCGTCGGGGTTTCGATAACTGCCCACCGCCGTATTGACTTCTCGGAGCCTGTCTGCCCCGCAAGGTTGTGGAAAGGACAAAAGTGGGTCAGGCCTTGGAGGAACATTGGCCTAGATTTTAATTCTGATGCACTAATGCTAGTAGACTAATGTTCATATTGATCCGAGGCTGGAGGAAGACCAGATGTTGGCTTGTTCAAACCCCTGACAAATCCAGCCCTTGAGAAACTCTCTCCCACGCCCCTAATCCTTTTGCATTACCTTCACTTAGGAGTATTTATGAGCAGAGTTTCACGCGTCCCCAGTAAATCTAGCGGCGTGAGCATGCACCAGAAGCCCAAGGTCAGGGCAGCCTAACGCTCGGTCCGTCCACTCAGAAGTCGGGCTCGTGCCTGCCGTGGGTTGGGCGTCTAAGGAAGCAGCTCCAGGTCACAGACCTTGAGACGTCCACCGCATCGGAAACTCCTTGTCTCGTTCCCGCCTTGACCCCCTCGATCCCAGCTAGGAAAATATTATCTTACCTTCTAACCTTAAAGCTGCCATTCTCTGAAATTCGGGCTCTTGAAGCCATCGCCACATCCTTTTGAAGGTCTCCCTCCCGGACTTGAGTTTGCTCCAGGGCTTGGGGTTCCTCAGGAGGTCGGACAGGGTGCCTTGGGAGCGGCAGAGGACACGCTCCGCGAAGATCGCCTGGGGAATGCTGTACCTCTTCAGCTCGGCGATGATACGCTGGGCCACCTCTTTGGTGTTGATCTCCTCCAGCTGACTCGAGAGCACCGTGGTCTGGGTGGCGATGGGGGGGTTGGGCCGAGCGTTCATCTCCGGCCGAGGGTGACCGTAGGTGGTTTGACTCATGGGGTTGGGGGAAGCCATGGTGGTGTTCTGGGTGGGAGACATCTCTCTCTGGAAGTGCTGGTCCATTCGGCCAAACATGGCGGCGGAGTGGCCTTCGAAGCCGTTGCTGATCACCATCTTCTCGTTGCCCAGAGGGGCCACGGAGTGTCCCGGGTAGTTGTGCATGGGAACCAGTTGTGGGCTGGGCAGCGAAGACAAGCTCTGACCCATGCCCAGGTCTTTGTGGTGGTACGGGCTGTAAAAATGCCCGCTGGTGCCCAGCCCCCTGTCTTCCCTCATGAGGGTGAAGCTCCCAATGACGTTGCCCATCGGCAGACACTGGTGGTGGTGGTGGTGGTGGTTCTGATGGTGGAACTTCTCGTGCAGGGGCTGCAGGGGAGTCAGGGTGGTGTAGCTGTTCCCCGCGCCGGCCGTGGGCGAGTCCCCCCCAAAGCCGAGTCCCGGGTGCAGGGTGGTGGCCAAGGTGTGCTCTGCCCGGTGGCATTCGCTGCCTTCCAGCACCGAGGCCACCAAAGAGGGCCTCTGCAGCACCGAATGCAGAGGACGCGAGTCGCTTTGCATGAAATCCTGCTCTTGAACGGCCATCTCCCCACCATTCTCCAAGCTCAACTGGACGTTCATGGTTCCCCCTCCTAGGCTGTCATCTTCTCTGTGGGGCAACCCAGCCTTAATCCCTGGAGCCAATTAGACGGTGGGTCGGGGAAGGTGTTGAGATGGAGAAGAAGTCGGTCCTGGTTGGGAAGCTTAATCTTGGTTGAGGTCCTTCAGGGATAGTTGGGGGACAAAGGAAGAGAGATAAGAAAGAGAAAGACGCAGCCGATCTTCTTCCTCTTCCTCCTCCTCCTCCTCCTCCTCCTCCTCGTCTTGTTCTCATGCATTGAAATTTCATGAGAGAGGCACGGGCCAAACTTCCATTTGGGTCTCTGCCCTCATACAACAGGGAAATGTCTGTTTTGGAAGCCCATCCAAGATACACCTCCTCCTTTCCCAAGC